TTTTTAACTGAATCTGCACAAAAACAGTAGGCCAATTTAGCACGATATAAAGCAGTGAGTGGGAGGTCTCTTTGAAATAACTTTATTTCCAGTCTTCTTGGGACTTGTCTGTAGAGTCCAGTAAATACTGTGACATGCTCTATTTACAGTTGTTCATCACCATTGATATCTATACTTTGGTTTAGTTTAATTCATAAATTATCATAATTTTAGCCAAACAACAGAATTAGCAATGGATAAAGTAAGCACAGGATTGATGAGAGTACATGCATGCAACCCTTAGTTCACATGGCTTCAGTAATATCCATGTATTGCATTACTATGAAAGATTATAAGCGTGGACTTAGAAAATTTAATATTTAGTGACACTGTGACTACTTAAGGGAAGTGAGAGTGGGAGGAGACCACATTTTTCTAATGAACTGCAGAGAAAGTTTATATCAAATTTGGACCTAAACATGTAAGAGATAATGATGAAAGGAATTTCCATTTGAGTGCAGTATCACATAACCAATTTTGAAATTTTCTTTTGCAATATATATCTCCTGCTCTGGCAATTGGAGCCAATTGAGGAATAACTGCAGTCTAATTACTTTTGTTTTAAAGGGATCAATACAGATATGAAAGATGTGTTTTTGCAACAAGTGTGACAGATAATTTAGCTGTCTAATGCTCGACTACTTTTTCTAAAAATGTTGGAGAGAATTTTTTTTGTTTATTTTTTCTTTCAGATGTTAAATATTTAAAAGAAGAAGATGCAAATCGTAAAACATTCACAGTCAGCAGCACACTGGATTTCCTAGCAGATCGCAATGATGATGGTGCAGTTGTAAGTTGCAGAGTAGATCATGAGTCCCTAAACTCTACACCTCAGATAGCAATGCAGGTTCTAGAAATACACTGTAAGTAATACATGTAATATATACTTGCTTTTATGGTTTTGTTTTGTTTCAGAGTTTCTATTGTGGGAAAATTATAAAAATCTCTGGTATTGTGTGGAAAGATAACATCTTTCTGTTAGCCAACTTCTCTGGTTTGTATTTGTTTGGTTGGTTGGGGTGGATTTTTTTGGTTTTTGCAGGAGTAACTCTAAAAAGTTTAATGGGAGCTTTATCAGTGAAAATCCTATGGGACTGAGTTCCTGGTTTGCTTTGAAAAATGGTGGAGAGGAAATGCATTTGTCTTTTTTGTTTATCATTGTAGCAATGTGAGAGAGTTCTTAAAAATCAAGATCATAGTGGTTCGCAATTTTCCTTGAAAGTATCTAGAAACTTGAAACAAGGGTGTGAAGAAGCAAAGTTCACAGCAGACTGCCTCAATAACTTTGAATCCTGCTAATGAAACTCTGTGTAATAACACAAGTCCAGGAGGAAAAACCCTTTAGAATTTATTTTTAGGCCTTGTCTATACAGGATGTTACTCTTGATAATCCAAACTTCAGTTGTTTTGTATCTCTATATATTGACTTATTTTTTCAAATAGGATTTCTGGAAACTTGAACTTTTCTGCAGTGAATTGTTTCAAAGTTGAATGAACCTGCCTATCTATCTGTGTGCCCTACTCTGAAGTCATGTTGTCCTTTGAGTCAGTTTTCTTCACTTACAAACTGTGAGACACTCAGAAGAACGCCTTTTCACCATCAGATGACATTTTCACATTCACTTGCATTATACCCACCGTTCTTCATGGTACAGCTATTTGGATATCTGCAGAACACCTGTACTTTTGGCTACCAGCTAGCAAAAAAAAGGCATCTGCAAAATATTGTCAGATGAAGTGAAGGGGAGGTCTGCTTCTAGGGTAGGTGTAATCAAAGGACCTACCCTAGGTCCTATTATAAAGCAAACAAGCTTGTACATAAAGCAGACAAGCTTCCAGTAACTGCAACTAGTTCCAGACATACCATGTCAAAGACAGCTGGCATATATAATTTGTTTCTAAACAGGGATATTTCTATAAGCATCTAAGACTCGTAGCACGTAAAATGAAGTAATGGCAAAAGCACTCCATGCATAGAAGCTGACAGCATTGCTAAAAACGTCATCTGCAAAAAAGTCCGAAAATTGGGAGGATGTGGATTAGCATCACAAGTAATATCTACTGAAAATAACTGTTTTCTGAAACATTCTACCCATCATTTTACTGAGGAAGATCAAAGCCTTTCTTCACCAAATGGCTATTAAACACCTGCCTCCCATAATATGTTCAATAGGCATCTGTACTAGAGACATGAATCCTTAAGAGCTCTATTTCCTTGAATTCTAAATCCCACAACGATCAGCCACTGAGCTGGCCCATGCTTTCACTTCCAAATTGCTTGCTCTTCCTTCAGTGCCCTGCTCAAGTTGTTGGCACTACAGGAGATGAAACAAATTGAATGGAACAGTACATACAGAAACAGGACAGCTGTACGAGGTTTAAACAGAGTCACAGTGTCTGCAATGTGATGTGATTCAGGGTAAAGGCAGGCTTCTGGTTTGCATGAGCATCATAAGATTATAAGGCATAGAAACCTTTCTGTGGCCTCTCATGTATACAGCTTCTTGAATGTTTGTTGTTTCCTTCCAATTTGCACCCTAGGTAGCAAGACACTACCTTGCTAAATAGCAGAGGGGTGCGTCTTTCTCTATGCCTGTTGCTTCATGTTTTGAACAAGACCCTTCTCTGTCTTCTGCGGGTTCACTGAAGTTGTCTAATAAGGACAAACTGCACCAGGCATTTACAATTACTAATGTGCTTTATGTTACTGCCCCCTCAGACTGCCAACTTATCAAAAGCCACAATGCTCAAGTAATTATTTCCTGCTTGCTCCATTAATTTTCAACCAATCAATTTAATACTCTCCAGCACTATATAAAGTCATTATACACGGAAAGATAAGTCAGAAATCTGCCAAAAGAAGCTCAAGTTTAGAAGAGAGAGTGGAAATACCATTTAAAACCATGGAGAAAGCAGTATTTTATTACTGGTGACGAGGCTAAGAACAGGCTATTATTGTCCTTTTCCTTACTACCTTACCACCATCTCCATGGTCAATATACTCAGAAGTCTTACACTGGGCAAGTTTGTAAAGGAAACCTTATAGAAAGAGAAGGAGATTCAGGGAAATAATTATGTGGTTCGGCAGAGAGCCTTGAAGGAAAAAGAGGAGAAGGATGATTTACGTGAGCAATCACAAAGACTCTGAATGGGGTACATCGCACTGGAACTGGGCCCTTTGATTTTATTCTCCTGGTATTGCTCACCGTCGTCGTGGGTATTACTGCAGTCACTGGAAGCTGCTGACTTTTTTCCATCAATCCATAAGACTTCAAACATATAAGAGACATCCTATTTGTATTAATGAGAGGCATGCTCCCAGGACCCAATGTGAGCTGACCCAATATATCCTCAGCACCACCTGACAGCAGTTCAAAAATAGTGCTGACAAAACAGATGAATTATGGGACCCCATGAGAAAAGTCAGGAGAATTTGTTAATCTGACATCCTGTAGGCTCCAAAATCACAACCAAGTAGCATGGCATTGCTCCATAGCGCACTTCTTTTGAATGTCCCAGAGGTATTTCAGATGAGCAGAGAGCTATGGGAGAATGATAAGCAAATACCTTAAAATGGTCAAACAGAACAGCACAGATGAGCATCAGTTTGGCAGAGAACAGATACACAATGATTGGGCATCACCCATTAGAACTGCACTTGGTTTTTAAACACCTTCCTAAAATCTGAAGAATTTTATCTGTGGTGCATGGACGCTCCTTATGAATTATCAGTGTATCATCACAGGTTAGAAAAAAAGGGCAATAATAAGGTCTGGCCATTTCTGTCCTGTATAATTATGCTTGAATGTAAAAACGTCTGCTTTGTTTCAAGCAACTAGACCCTGACAATGGACAAAACATTTGTGGCTTCATCAAAACAAAAAAAGAAAAGAAAAGGAAAACAACAGAACACTAGGAATTACAGGATTGTGTTTGCATCCAGTGGATGATAGGTAGAGAAAAAGGAAAACAACACAATGGTTGGAATGACAGGTTTTTATTTATGCCTAGTGAAAGACAGAATAAAATTAAATCTGTCCTACACTATGAGACTATACAAAACAGATATTTTTTAATGAGTCCATGGAGAGATGTAGATAGAGGTGCTTATGAGTCCACACAGCTGCTTTTATCATCAGCTTTAATAGGAAGTAAACTTAGCAAAACGAAAGCCAGTAATGCCATCAGCAGCGATGTCAATATGGAATATACTTTATTCCCTCTTTTTCCCTTACACGAATCTTAGCTTTTATTAGTGTGATAGAGCAATCAAATCAGCTTTCCCCAGTAGTATTAGAGTACATGAAATGAAGCTGAGGACTAAACTTTTAAGATAAGAAAGTTTTTATTTTCTTTTAATATATATATGTGTACGTAGTAGAAATAATGTCTGAATCCTTCTGCTGCTCTTTTCTTTTTTTTTAACGGTTAGGTACAGAAGTAGAGATTACCTATATTACTTATAGCTTGACCAAATGAAGGATATCTTGAAGGAGACCGTGATCAGTCCTTGTTTTCACCGGGCTTTCCAGATTAATTTTGCAGACTTCAAATATTAAAATAATAGGGATGCTGTTAGGGTAAGCATGCGGTACCCCGCTCCAGACTGTGGGATAATTAGCTCCTCCAATCTTTTGAGCTTTATTTATCACTGATTTATGTTATGTCTCACTTGTGCTTAATCCTGTTCATCTGTATGTCATGCTCTGCGCACTGCAGGGCAGCCCAATTGCCCAAGTCGTTCTGTCGTGCTGAAAGGTTTGGCTGTAATTTAGTTTCTGCTTGGCCAGCAGTGGTTTGTGGTAGCATGACACTGCTTGCTGACTTTATTTTTCCTCTGACCCTTACTGTCAACAGTAAACCTAAAATAGACTTGTGTCCCCTGTGGCTTTGCTCTGAAGTTTGCTTGTCAGCCTAGCTGCCACTGATTATTAGGAAGTGCTTCTTGCAAGCGATAAATACAAATCTCAGAAGGGTATTTCATTTCATTGTTTACTTTTGCATTCAAACTAAACTAAGAATGCATTCTTTGTTCCTGTATTAAAGAATCACAGGTGCAGTACTTCAATTTTGAAAACTTCTCAGTACGATATTTATGAGATTGTATACTGTAAGTCCTCATGCACACTCCTGAAAAGATATTTTGAGGGCAAGTACAACTTCTGGTCCACATCTGGGAAGTGAGTGAATTCTGCTCATCCCTCCTCAATGTCTTGGACACGTGTTGTTTCCCAGAAGCAGCACCTTCACTTTCCTCTAGGTCTTATCTGAGCAGAAGCCAGCCAACATGTTGCTTCCTACTAAACAGAATGCCATAAAATTATCCAGTGGTAGTTACCTTACATTAGTGAAGATTCTCTGACTACAGTAAATTACCCAGCAGACCTCAGTAAAAATTAATTGTGTAAGTCTGCCCCAGCGGCTGCTTTTGAAGCTTTAAAGTGAAATCAAATAATTTGAACTTCAAACCTAATCATTGTGATTCTAAAATGGCAGCTGTGGTATGATCCGTGCTAACGGACTCAGTGAGATTTTGCTCAAAAGCTGACCACACTCCCAAATGACAGCAATAATAAGCTAAATACGTGTTATGTAAAGAAGTGTCTAGAGAGGCAATTTTGAGTAAACTCTATATTGGCAGACACAGATGTGCAGTGAATTGTCAGTCTGACAAGTCTATAGGCATCAGCTAACTTGCTTCTACAGGCTATTCCAACAATGTTTGTGTAATAAGCTGTTTCTTCATTTGTGGGTTGTTACTAGATTCTTTTGCAAAGAACGTCCGAACTTGACTTTAAAATTAGGCAGCTATTCCAAGAGAATGTTGGCTATTGTCCGGGAAATAAACTTATTGATTTTGAAT